TTCCTTTTACTCCACTTTATACATATATATTGCTTGTTTGTGATAGTAGTTTTTTACTTTATACTTTTCATGCTAAACTGCTACACACATGTTTTTACCTTTTGTACCTGTATTATTTTCATGCTTAGAGCCAAATGATAGATAATTAATCTGTAAATTTTTCTCTCTTTATATTTACTTTGTACTATCATGTTTTAAACAATTTAAAAATTCATGTTTCGGGGAGAGAAAAAAACTTTTAAAAACTAAAACTTTATTTGTCCTCAAATAAACTATATTTAAAAATTATTTTTATATAAGAAGTGGTATGTGATGTTATTTTTAGAAAAATATATTTTTGATTTCGTGAATGATATAGTGAACGTAAGTAAAAATTCTTAGTAATAAAGGGTAATTCTATAGTTAAGATATTCAGTATGAAAATTTAAAAGTAGGCTTTTACTATCCAGAACAGAAAAAAAATATCCTTTTTTAAATACTAAGGATCTTATATTTACATTTTAACAAGAGTTTTGAGACTTTATGAAAAATTATTTTAGACTGATACACATTTGTGAGAAGTTTTTAAATTTAGGAATAAGATAGTGAGGTTTAAAATCTTTAAAGACTATCCAGCTATAGTAATTCTCACATGAAAAGAAAAAGAAAAGAAAGGATTGAAAATGATCCTAAAAAGAAAAAAAAGATAAATCAAAAGAAAAAAAGAAAAGTTAAAATAAAAATATGTGAGGAGAAGCTTGAGGAATTGTCTAATTAAAATTTTGCTTCACTTGAATTATCTTAAAGGAAGAAACTTACTTACACTTCTGAGTTTATTCTTAATTTTAAATGTATTAGTTAAATCTTTACTAGTAAGAGTTCTCATATAATTCTTTCTTTAATTCTTATAAGATTCCTAAGTCTGACAAATTACAATTGTTTTTGAAATGAATAGAAAATCAAAATTCCTAACTTAAGTACTAGATATTCATACACCTTAATTTTATCCTGAGTTATTAAATTTTCTATAAAGTTTCACTATTACATTTTATGATGCAAGAATATAATAATCTTTAATGAAACCCACAACTAGAAGTTAAAATATTTTATGCTACAAAATAGATGAGTTAATTGAGGACAAGTAATGTTTAAGTTAGGGGAAATTGACACGCCTTAAAAGTTACGTACTTTTAGATGTACATGTTATGCTCGTTGTTAAGGATATTGTGCTTTAATGAAATGTATTTTGTGTATTTTTTTATTTCAATTATAAGAAATGTAGTTTAACATAAAAAGAAGCAAAAATAGAATAAAATAATGTCAAATAAAGCTAAGGAACAAAAATTGACCTGACACATAGGAGTCAGGATCTGGCGCCTAAGCGCCAGGTAGCTAATTAGGGTTTCTAGAAGGTTGGCGCTTATGCGTCAGAAACGGTTTGGAACTTTTGACATTAAATTTGAATGAATTTTGAAGAGGTGCTTGAAGTGTCTCTTGGTGATTTTGATAAATCTATTTAATAGAGTCATTAGCTGGTCGAAAAGGAGAGCTTTTGGTGGGTGTCTTGAGTCTTAGTGTGAGGCGTGTGGGTGTGTGAGTGAGAGTCTTTTTAGAGTCTATTTTTGTGTGTTTATTGGAGGAAGAAGACAACAAAGGAACTCCAAAGGATTTGCTTAAGTAGAAGTTTAAGATACATCATTTTTTTGTTTAAGTTTTATTTTATTGTGTAAACTTGAAGTTTAATATAAATCATGTTTTGTTGTGTTATCCACATGAATTCCGAGCACTTTTCTTTTTCTTTCTCTTTGCAATAAGAAGTAATCATGTGTAGGATTAGAATTATTTGAGATTTCTATTATTCCATACTTGTGATGATTCGTTACTTCGTACTTCATTTACATCTTCAATCTGGCAAATTGGAATGTTCAAATTCATTGTGTGTCCATAATGACCCGGAAAGGCTTTGTATTCCTCCACTAGTAAGAATCACATTAATTTCATGGGTGAAAAGTTAATCCATGGGTTTGCGCACATAGATAGGGAGATAAGTTTTGATGAATGAATTAGTGATTCTAGAGTGACATGCAAGAACCTTTATCAATTTGATCTAGAGTTGAAACTTGAGGCCTGATTAGTCCTATAGAGTGGGCACAGTGGGTAAGGTTAGAACCTACCCAACATAACCATATCATTTAGGAACTTATTTTAGGTTAGTTAATGTTCTTTATGCACTAGAGAGAGGGTAAAGAATATGTATGCTCCTATTTGACACAAAACAACATTTTAAATTTTAAACATTTGATTCCTAAACTGATTATTATCTCTTTTCAAGGGGAAAAAACTTTTACATAATTTGAACTGTTATCTATTAAAATAGTTTAGAATCTCTGCATTTACCTTTAGCTTTGAAATATAATTTTTAGGAATTTAGTAACTTTTTTTACACCTGAACTTGTTATCATATTTTGTAAATTAGTGTCTAGAGTTTAAGTAGAGTTTACTAAGGTTCTAAATAGTAGTTTCTCAGTCTATTCACCTTTCTTGTGGGATCAATACTGGGGTTTTAAAGAAAATTTTATATTACTTGAAACGATATGTATACTTGCGTATTACCCTAGTGTGTAAACCATTAATTAAATTCTAAATTATAGAACATATTTATTATACACACTAGCCGCTAAAATATATCGAGTCAAGTTTCTGACTATCTTTTGGAAACTAAATATCTGCGTAATTGCAAGTCGGGTCAGTGTCCTTAAAAGGTAAAAAAGAGAGAAGCGATTAAACTTAAAAAAGAAGAAAAAGGTTAAGCTTGATTTCACAACATCGAATAAAAAAGTTAAGAACTTACTCGATATAGTGAAATAAAGCTTAACATTTTTCTTCTTTTTTAAGTTCAGTCGCTTCACTCCTTTTTAACTTTCGAGGACACCCATGATTATAATGTGCTATGAAACTTCAATATTATCCTTCATAATAAACGTGATTGCATGGTCAAATACGGTAGTTTTTGTAGGAAGAAGGCGATCCAAAGTTTTTGTAATCATTATAATGAGAAATGCAAGGTATATTTGTAGAAACTTAGCCATGCTAATATGGATTAAAAAATCAAATTAGTTTAAATTACAAAATTAACATTATCTTTAAAAGTATTATTTATCTTTTTCATGCACAGAAAAGTAATATAATCTTATTTTTTGTTGCATATTCTAAACATACATTTAAATATTTCAAGGGTGAGCTTGTTAGTTAAGCTCAAATTGACTCATCAGTGGGGACTCGAGTAGAATTGCTAGTCATGTCTAAAGCAGACATTTTGTTAGGTTTAAGTCAAAGCTCACTAACATAGTTCAAAGAAAGTTTATTATTAAACTCATGACAAGCTCATCTATTAAACAAACTCATGCATAGTTGCCATAATGGAGTTAATGTCTTCCTCAAAATGTTGTGCCATTGATCCCTGTTCATACTCGGACTATACACCTCTTATTTTTTACAACAAGTAGCCAATGAGTTTTGCGTTGTACATTTTATTATTTAAGTACCAATTTAAGTAATTTTTTTCTAAAAATGCTCAAACATCGAATCTAATCGATAAATATGAGGTCATGGGAAAGGCCTAGAGTAATATAATGTAATGCTTATACTTAAATGTTTTGTATAGTGGAAATTGCTAATACTTCTCAATTTTCTTTTTCTCTCTCTTCCTTTTCTCTTTGTGCTAACAAGATTCTAGTGCAATTAATAAACAAGAAATTAAGATTCAACGAAATTGATAAGGTGTGAAGGAGAAGAGATATTTGCAATGGAGCTAATTGGAGAAAAGACATTGATGAATTTGATAATGTATGAATGAGTAGATGAGTTTGTGATGTGGATCATTTGAGAAAGGCATCAATAATGATGGTGACATGTGAAGGAGAAAAATGGGTTCATGACCGAACTCATTAAGGAAGTCATTTAAGACACTAGGAGTGTGTGAAAGAAGTGAAAGGAACTCACTGGCGCTAGGCATCGACGACGCAGTGCTTTGTGAAGGAAAATAGGAGTTTGTAATAAGGGAGTGTGAGAGGCATACAATTATGGTTCTAATAGCATGCATGCAAAAAAGGCTAGGAGTTTGTGACAAGAGCTTATTGAAGAGGACATAAATTCTAATTTGACCTTAATAATAGTGTTTTTGATATGTTGTTAAATATTAGAGTGACATGCCTGAAAATATATGATAGTTTGAGTGTAAGACATGTAAAAAATATTAGAATTGTGTGGTATGTATGTGCATGCACAATAAAAAGAGAAAGCAAACAATTAATGCCAATCATACACTCAAAAGTGATTAGATGAAATAAAGTCAACATATTAATTTTATTTTTCAAAAGCACTTTGCTCATGCCAAAATTGAATATCATACTTATTTCAATGCTTCAATTAAATTTATCAATGTTGGTCCCAAGCTTGAATGAAAGAAGGTTGAGAAAATTTTGAAAAAGTTATTTTGTTGCCCAATTTTAAAAATTTGTTTTCTCCAACATTTACTACTGTTCGTTAATTATTTATCACAAATGAATTGAAATAGATCTGAGATATTTAGGCACTGTTTGGTTGCTAGCAGAATTTAGTTTAAATAGGATTTAGAAATCTTATAAATTTGGATTTATCAAATTTTGAGGTGTTTAAATCCTGAAAACTGTTTGACAGTGTTACAAAGATTTAACATCATTTGTCAGAATAAACATCCAAGATAAAGCTTAAATAAGAAAATAAATATAAATGAGTATCTAAAGCCTAAAAGTGCATAAAAATGTGAATTTAAATTAATTAATAAATATATATTTTTTTTGTGAACTTATTATTTATTAAACAATAATTTAATAATAAATAATAAATAATAAATTATTTTAAAAACTAAAATTTACTTAGTGCTTCATTAAATAATTTAAAACTTAAAACATGTTTTTATTCATTAATTAACTATTATAAATTTATATTTAAATTTATCCCTTCCCCTCCCTTCCCCACCCTCGCGATACAGACTCCATTAGAGGTAACTGGGAAGGTATCGAAGGGATTACGGCTTACAGAGAACACGGAAACTCCCATCTTTCTTATCCTTCCGCTGCGCTCCTAGCAGAAACCATTGACGAAGGTAAGCCTGTTTGCGCCATTCTTCTTCTTCGCTTGTCGCCGATTTACTACATCTGCAGTAAATCCCTGATTTATTACAAATCTGCGTAATTTTGGAATTTAGGGGAGATCAGGATTTACGGAGGGGATTTTTGCCGTTTGGCAGGATTTAGCTTAAATCCAGCGTAAGTCCTGCTTAGAACCGGCTACCAAACAGCCCTTTAAAGTAGATTAAATCAGGAAAAAAAAAAAATTTTCTCAAACGAAGAAAACGAGCCATTATTTTTCAATTTAACCATACAAATTTCCATCTATAAATGCCATTCAAACTAGTAATACAACAAGAAAGACCAAAGACACCGTAACCTGATGGCTGAAGGTTCAATCCTCCATTCTCAGAAGATTCATTCCACTTTACCATTACACTACTGTAAAGCAAACAAAATCGAAAAGAAAAAACGAGCAATCTAACTCACAACCCAAATGAATATTAAAGTTCGTTTGGTTTTTTCAATTTAACCATACAAATTTCCATCTATAAATGCCATTCAAACTAGTAATACAACAAGAAAAACCAAAGACACCATAACCTGATGGCTGAAGGTTCAATCCTCCATTCTCAGAAGATTCATTCCACTTTACCATCACACTACTGTAAAGCAAATAAAATCGAAAAGAAAAAACGAGCAATCTAACTCACAACCCAAATGAATATTGTTGAGAAAATAAGGCGAAGAAAAACAGTAACGACACAAACCCAGAAGAACACAGAGATTTAACGAGGTTCGACAAAGATGCCTACGTCCTCGGGAGCAGAGCGGCGAGTTTCTTTCAATATTCAGAAAAGGGTTTACAGAAATCAGGGATACCTCCTGGGATTACTAACATGCCTATTTATAACCCCAAGAATAAACCTAGGCACAACATGTAATTACAACATTACCCCTGTACTATACCGCGGAGCTTTGCCCCCGCACCCCAACCCACGCAACTTCCCAATTTGGACAGATTTTTCCTCTCTGCTCCGCTCCGCTTCGATCCAGCGTCTGTCCCGATATGGTTTATGAGCCATACCATAATAAATATTAAAGTTTGTTTGGTTTCTTGCAGATAGATTAATTATTGATTTCTTTTAATGAAAAATGAAATCATTAGCAGTGATTAATTAAAATTTATGTTGACATCTACTTACATCCGGGGTGGTCAATATGAAGATAAAAAGAAGACAACAATCATATCATAGGATAAGCGAAAAAGGAAATCAATATGAAATTTGTAGAAATCAATAGATCCATAAATTTAATTACTACATCTACATATTACTAAAACTATAGGTACAATAATACACAGTAAAAAGAAAGACAACAATAAATTACATGTAGTTTATAGACTACTAAAACTGAAAACACACAAGTACGCAGTAAATGAATGAGAAGACTGTAAAGTGCAGTATACAAACTACTGAAACTGAAAACACAAAGGTACAAAGTAAAAATAAAATAAAAATTACACATCTTAGTTAACATTCTCTGATGAGTCACTTGAGAATGTCGTTAAAATTATTTCGTCCAAACTATCATCAGAATCATGTTCATCGATATCAGATTCTTTGTGTTTGTCAGTAGGTTCCACTAAATTGACCTCCTCATCGATAGTTTCAATCAAAATGTATGAATTTATCATTTCCTATTTTCTGATGGGCGGACTCAAATGAATTCTGAATATCAATAGTCTTTGTAGGTTTACCGACTATGACTACTATCCACTCGACTTTGTCTCTTATTCTATGGAATATGGAAGATAAAATACATGACTTGCTTGTCTTATTAAAATGAACGGATTAAATTTACCGTATCTCATGTTCACTTTACTTCTACTATATTATACGGATGGATAAACCTTATTTCACGATTAGGAGCAGAATAGAATCAGTCACAGTTGAATAGAAATACAATTCCACCAATATAGTCATGATAAGATAGTTTAACAATTTTTTCGAGAATCCCATAATAATCTATCTCATCGTCCAATATATCATTTGCTTTAACACAAACATCAGAATTTAAGTATTTTCTCTTTCTGATCAGGACCTTATATGAAACTTGTAGCCAATCACTTCATAAATTTGTCAAATTTTCATAATATGCATGAATCCCCAAGCATGATCTATCAAACTTTGATGCATTATTCCATTGTTTCGATCATGAATCTAGTAATTCTGAAAAACTCATGTGTCATCGAAAATTTCTAATAACAATTATCTTAGATGTTTAATAGTTTTGTTAAACACTAATTTACATGTATTGTGAACCATTAGAGAAATTATTCTCTATCTTCTGGTTTGTGATATCATCTTTAACCGAGTTTAATGTATCTATGAATAAAATTTTACCACAATGAAAAAATTATGGATTAGCTCGTTATAATATTTTCAGTCTGAAGAATAATTTTTTAATAGAATTTAGTGTCTTACTGAATAAAGGATTGAACTTTGCCGCAATTTAGAAGAGCATAAACAATCACTACTCGAAATTCTTAATCACTAAGATAACTTGTTGTGTACCCCTATGATGCTTCACCAAACTACTGAAAAACAGAAAGTATCGAGGGAGGCACCGCACCTAATGAAGTGGATTCTTCTTGCACGAAATAGGAGCAGAAAGTAGCGATCTCCTGCAGTAAATATGCTTCACATATTGATCTTTCTGATCGTGTTTTATTCTTGACAATTTCTTGAGTTTATTCAAAAATCTGTAAATGATTATTGATCAGCACAATTTCACAATAATATTTACAAAGGTGCCTACAAAGTATATTAAAAATCTTTACTATGTACTTTTCAAATGAATACATCCAGTGGGACTGTACTGGTCCTCCAAGTAAGGCCTTTTGTGGTAGATGTACTGGCAGATGCTCCATCGAGTCAAAAAAATTATGTAAGAATATTCTTTCGAGCTTGCATAAAATTATTGAAATGTTTGCTTCTAACTGCCGTATGCCAACAACATTCAAACAAGGTGTATACATCTCCTTAAAGAACATACTGATTTCAATCAGTAGATTTAAAATACTGGCAGATGCTCCTTCGAGTCAAAAAAATTATGTAAGAATATTCTTTCGAGCTTGCATAAAATTATTGAAATGTTTGCTTCTAATTGTCGTATGCCAACAACATTCAAACAAGGTGTACACATCTCCTTGAAGAACATACTGATTTCAATCAGTAGATTTAAAATATTGTTTGACAAACAGTTAAATGCGGTTGTCATCAAATTTTGATGAAACATGTGGCAATTGTGGCTTTTCATTTCAAATATTTTTCCCGTCTCTATATTAATATAATGACTCAAATTTGAAGCATATATGCTCGAAAATGTTAATGCCTGAAACCACTCACAAATTGATCTACGTTGTGTTAAAGTAAAAGAATATTTTGCTTTAGGCTTCAAAAGCTTGTCAATAACAGTTTCCTAAATCTCTTGCTTTTGTCTTCTGCAAATCTTCTTCAAATCTAATCCCAAAATCATATTATTTTTGTTTTTTTTCGTTAACATCCATCACAGTTTTTAATATATTGTCAAAGAAATTTTTCTTTATGTGCATCACATCGAGATTATATCTGTTCATATTATCCTTCCGATAAGACATATCCAAAAAAATAGAATTGTTTGACCAATTATGAATAACTCCAAAGCTTGATGGACAATGCAGAGATAGCTCGGGACAAATAGTAATATTTGGGAAAAATAGTAATATTTCGGATACAACTGGAGATGATGTTGATTTTTCAATTTTGTTTCTTCTGAATATACTTCTGTTCCTAATGAAGGGATGTTCAACATCTAAAAACATACTGTGACAGTCAAACCATGAATTCTTCTTGATATGTTGAAGCGTGAATGTCTTAGATGAATTCATGCAGTATGAACATGCTAACTTTCCCGAAGTGCTCCACCCCAATAACATTCCATACGCTAGAAAATTAGTTATTGTTCGCATTAATGTTTTTATCAGAAAATTTTGTTTCGTGGTAATGTCATAATTGATGATTCCTCTTTTCAAAAGAATCTGTAGCTTATCTATCAGTGGTTGCAAATATTCATAAACCTGATCTTTAGGATTACTGGGACGTGGTATAATCAAGGTCAGGAATAAGAAGGATATTGTCATGCACATCTTAGGGGAGAGATTGTATGGTGTAACAATCATTGGTCAAGAAGAGTAGGGTGTCACGGTTTGACTGTACAATGAGAAACCATCCGAGGATAAGCCAAGTTTCGCGTACGTGCTTCCGCAACAAACTCGGGATGTATACAATCAAAATTTTTTCATACCTCCATCTGCATAATGGCTCATTGCATTGATATCCTCTGACCTGTTGCAATGCCACGTCATATGTGGAGTAGTACGTGAGGAAGTAAATCATCTATAAAGACGTAGAATAAAGGTAGATAAAAGAGACAGTTGTAAGAAACTTTTTTCTGACTCTTATTTTTCACACCTAGATTAAGATCCTACAAATATATGAAAGAAATTTCAATGATTACGAAAGCCATTCTCTAACACACTCTTCTTTTAAGTGTTGTGTTGACTTAACTCCATGCAAACCACTTCGCTAGACAAGTCACACAGTGTTGAGCTATAACAGTCAATTGATTATCCAATATTTAGTTGGATAAAGTTTCTTTTTTTGTTAATATTTACAAACACAAAACTATTTGAACATCATGAAATAAGTAGTTAAAAAAAGGAATTAAGATCTTCGCATTTATATAACTAAATTATATAACAAAAAGCGGTATACACAATAATTATGATATAAGTTCTCTTTTTTCAAAATAATTACATCACAATGTTTATAAAATAACAAATCTCTAGGTAATAAACATACTTATAATCAGAGTTTTAACAACAATCGATAAACCTTATTTAACTTTAAGTTTTTTTTTTTTGAAATAAAACACATTATTAAAGCAAAAGTAAACAAAAACAGCTTAACAGGCTTAGAACTTACTAAAATATTCAATCACATAAGAGAGAAAAAATTAGATATATGCAAGTACAATATCATATAAATATTAAAATTTGCTTCAAATAAACTTGTATAATACCTCAACGTGCTACATGTCATATATATTAAGTTTGTATTCAACATGAAAATTTGTATCAACATTAAGTATTATTAGCTCCACATTTCTCTCGGGTCCTATATACATCGTCTTCTTTTTCTTTGTTTATTTAAAAGATGTTGCGCACACTTGGTTTTTCCATTGCGGTGCATGCAACTGATAAGAACTTTTAGGATTTATGGTCACTTGATTCTCAGGAGTGTACCCGGGGGTCTATTATTTGCAGCATTCAACAGCTGTTCTAATTGATGTTCAATATTCTTAATGACTATAGCTTTATTTTGTAATAGGTTCCTCATTTATATTACCAACTCCTCCATGATTAATCTTTTTTGCGTGAGCTGAGCATTGGCTTGGAAACCTGGTGGTTATGACAGCTTCTGAGGGTTTGCTCCTTGGTTATTCCCCTGACATATAGGGTTGACTTGAGGGTTTCCCTATTTGTTACTCCATTGAAAATTGGGGTGATTTCTCCAACCTGAATTGCAGGTGTTTGAATAGTGATTTTGGCCATTATTTTCTACAGCATTAACAAACTCCAAGGCAGACATGATCGGATTTACCATCGATCCATGCACCATTCCATCATTTGGTGGAAGTCTTTGCATAGAATTCATCCCCATATTATCTAACTTCCTAGAAGTAGCAGGCACTTGGGTAGCTAGTATAGCTAACACATCAGATTCATGCATTCTGGCAATTTTCTGGGGTGTGACTCTCTTAGGAGGCCATTGGATATTGTTTGTGGTCGTCCATCTTAAAATTTTACTTTTGTTTTGCCCAAGAAGGTTATTGAAGACTTTTTACCGCCTAGCATCTAGATCCATACAATGTAGTAAGATAAAAACTATCTATGGTTCTCCGACCATAAGGTCTTTTAATTCTTTTACTTGGTCACTTAAATCACACATTTTTATGCAAATCTTACCTTTGGTCAATTTAAATTTCTATGATCAAACATCTATTTTTTTTAGACTGTTTAGACTGAATTCTTAAGGTTAAATATCTCAAAAAAGAAGAACGGCAAAAACCTAAAATTTAATTCTTCTCTTGAACATTGAATTCTAGATGAAACATTTTTTCTTTCTATTTTCTATTCGATTTAGAGGTGGAAAACACCATTTCTTATATTAATGGAAGAGAAAATAAATTTTGTTGTTTGAGAGGATGTGATGCCAAAGCAACAAATGAGTGTAAATACTTGTTCTGTCGTGGTATTAAAATTAAAGGTATTTATTCTCCATTGCAATCCTTTTCTAGGCCCGCACACTTATATTTTCTTGCATGAACTAAATGCATCAAATTTGCTTAATATTCATGGTTTGCTATTCCCTATGGCCCATCTTTGCACAGCTTAAAAAAGTCCAAAATAGCACCCACCAAGCTAATTAGTCATTGCAAAAACAAAGCAAGAAAAGTATATCATATCACAAAGAATATAGTCCTAAATAAGTTGATAACATATTTTCGTAGGAGTTAATAAAATAAAATGGGAATGTTGTAAATGGTTAAATTAATGTAAGGACCAATTCTGAATAAAATTTCATTTGAATCTTAATTGGGTCAATTGAAAACCTTGTTGGTTTTAGTGTTTTTATTTTATTAAATTTAAATGTTCAATGTGGTTTAACCAGTTTACGATGAGTTAAAGAGGATGGTCTGTAAGACAAGGTAAACACTGGATAATGGCTCTTGGATGGGGTAATAGAAAGTCTAATCGTATGTACTTTGTGCATGTTTATATAAGATTGTGGACATACAATTAAAGTTTAGGTATATGCATGCTGAAACTAATTAAATTATGTTCCAGAATTCCAAATTAAAAAAAAAATATGTCATCTTTTTTATAGATGCTATGAGAGCCTAAAATTCAAAGTTTAGGTCTTTTTAATTTGATAAACCTAAAATTCAAATTTTATTCGATAGATTAGTAGCTACTAGTGTATCAGAGCCAGAGAACTTTAATCATGTTGGGATTCATCCGCATTACTATGCTTTGCTCACATGGTTAAAAGATTCATATAATGATTAGGTCGATTGAAGGGGTGAGTTCTTGAATCTTTTGTATCTTTTTGTTTGGTTTGTGTAATATTATGTAAATCTTTTATTTGTAACAATGTTTATGATGTTTAGATATGACTAATTAAATAGTTTCAAAAATGAGAATTCTTTTCATGTTTATAGTTATTAACACTTGTGTGAATTTTTTCATCATTTTTCGAAACATTAAGTTGATAATTTCATCATGTGTTTTGATGGATAATTTAATTTCTACGAAAGAATGTAGAATGTCACTTTTATGTACATAATAACCCATGTTTTAATGATGTTATTGGAGCAATTGTTGGCATGCATATACTTGTAGTGATTGGTAAAGAAATGCAACATATGCATTATATCAGAATGCAACCCACTTCTAATTGCCAATTTATGTCTTGTAACCCGGTTGGAGAGATTTGCAGTTGATAGTACGACACTGATGAAAAATTTAAGAGATTGGGATAAGTGTGTCACCATAATAATATTACTTGATGGATTTTGGTTATGTAAAGATCGATAAACTCATGGCTTGTTTTAGAGGATATAGATGTCATTTTAGTGAGTATCTTGTGGGTACTTTATCTCATAGGAATTGCATAATTATCATCACACCTAGTTGCATTACATAATGGAGAAGACTTTTAATTTTTGGGAAGAAAGATTTTAACTGATAACTCACTTATGATAGTTTCTTTTGATTATTCAAGTGTAATGGTCCTTGTTCGTGCAATTTTGTACAATTTAATTGGTTGATATCATAGTCATTATTTGTTTCCAACATGTTTGAAATTGAGATTTAACATGATCATGAGTTGGGTGAGGCAGAAGATGATAAAGTAGATTCTAACATATTGCAATAATGGTGGAGAGTTCATGAACAGACATCTCTTAACAACTCTCACGTTATCTACAATTGTGAATCCATACAAATTTCAAGTGGTGAATCATATCATATATAAAAGTTACAAAGTTATGCTTGTATATGTATTTTGATGCATTTTTAGTAAATTTTCTTCTCACGTTAGATTTCACATTAGATTTTGATCATATGTTTAAATTTTTAATGAAATCATATAATTAATTAAAATATCACATTCTGAAGAAAATGTCAAACAAATTGTCAGAATTTAACTGTATTTAACATTTGTTATGCCAAAAAAAACTTTCTAGAGTTAATCCAATGAGGATTACTTAATCTTATTATTGGTGTCATATTTATAGGATTTATTAAATCCTACTTGTATCCAAACAACACTTTAGTTCTTATCACCGATAGCCATTGAACTTGGCCATCTTGAAGGTAAGATCCATTTGGATGCTCATGTTAGTGGAGATATTGAGATTTGACAACTAATCTTGATAGTACATCCATTTTGAGGTTCATGGTAGTGGAGAGATTGAGATTTGTCATCTTTGCTCCATTTATTATTTCTCTCTTTGCAGGGACTCGGCATAGGGCTAGAGTTTCCTTGTGAGACTTCTTTTTTTTTAGCGACTGGCATGTTAGAGAGTTAGAAGTATTGAGGTGGGTTGTTAGGACATTTAGGAGGGAACACACAAAAACAGATAAACATTGCAAGTTATCATTTGTCATAGGGCGTTGCTAAGACAAAATATTGTGTTTGGATTTCTACAAATTTGGACGTTTTGAAAGCATAAAAAGTATGCCCTTTGAGGTATTTCAAACTCAAAAAAATAATTTTGCATTTTGCATTTTACATAAGGGTTATTTTATACTGCATATTTATAAAAAATTGAAATACTTGTATTTAGTTTTTTTTACTCGCCTAATACTTTCAACTAAACCTCAAGGAATTGCTTCATTGTATAAGATTAGAAGTCATTAAACTAAGGAATTTTCGTTGTTATAGACAGTGTGGAAATGTGTTGGCACTTTTGCTTGATATAACAGCCCCTTGTGTTGAAATTTTCTCATAGAAAGCTGGCCATCTTTACTTTTAATGCCAAATTATTGTTTAATATCACACATAATGGAATTTCATGTCAATTTATACCTTGTTTTTTCTGTTCAATTTAGACTTTATTATATGTGCTCTCTCCTAGGCATGCATGTCATCTTTTTGGGCTGAGTTGGGGTGTATGTTGTTCAATTGGTAGTCAATGATGAATTTGGTCAGCATTTTAGCTTCTTGTGAGCATATGATTTTCCTTTCTCTTTTTCATTTTTTCTTGCTTAGTTAAAAAGTTGAATTGCTCATGATCATATGCAGGCCAAGGTGAAATTAACTTCTATCTACATAAAAGAAATGACTGAGGTGATTAATAATACTGATAAAAGAAGTAAACGGCGTTTGCCTACATGGATGCAGAGCAATGATACTGCCAAAAAAGAAAATTTTGGAACTTCTGATGGATTATACTCAGTATCAGGAAATCAACCAGAGCCTCAGGGTGCAGTTTCTATGATAAAATCCATGTCAAGCGATGTTGATGTGGTACTAGCTGAAAACAAAAAGAACTCAGACAATAAAGAAATCCTTGCAAAGAATTATTCAAAGAAAAGCACCAGGAAACCAAAAAAAAGTGATGGTTCTAATGTTGTTCCGGGTAACTTTAGTGGAACTGAGAGAAACTCTGGGGGGGATATTGTTAAATGTGGAATGTCTATGGATACTGATCGGCACCTGAAGATCAGTGCCAGAAGCCAATCTGTAAAAGTTTTATCCCAAGGAATGACGGAAGGTGCAGCGGAACTGACCGTTGAAGATCTGATTAGTATTGCTGAAGAGGTATTAATAATTTTTTTTAACTTTGTTTTATAGATTTATTAACTCTTGTCCACTTCTTTTCATTCATGTTCTATCAGATTTACTTCAAAATCTCTTTATTTTTACGTAGTCTTATGCATCCAAACCATTTTTTTTTCCTACCATATAATTAATTGTTGATAATCTTAACCTTGAAAGGATAATCATCTTGCAATTTTTTTCTTCTAGCTTTACGACACAGATGCATGCTTGGGAGTATATAGCCAAAACCTAAATGGCTTCTTGACAAGGTTGTCATTTTAATCAATTCATATTATTGTGATGGCCAAAGAAATAATAAGAATGTAAATTAAAATTTCTCCTAAAATTTATAGCTTGATTTCTGCATATCTCAAAAATGATCAATAAGTATTTTTAATAAAAGTTTACATTTTGTATTGATCATTTGCTATGTAGATGTATGTTTTAATATGAAAGTATATTAGCATTTATAAATTAATTATTAAATTAAATTAAATTACCCTAAGCATTTAATAACTCAATTTATTTAACTAATTTGATTATCACAAAACTACTATTTACTTCTTCGAATAAACAACACATGTAGTATATCGATGACACGAAGAAAAAAGTAACTTATGGTTTCAAGATCTAACATTGAATTCAAATTCAGAGTAATTTTTCAAGGGATTTGCTAACTTCTATAGATTAAAATCATTTTACGAGATTCTGAAATAAGATACTAAGAGCTTATGGAGATGCACTGTGATAATAAATTTGCCATCAACATTGCTCATGATCATATGATTGAAAGTTGATAGATTTTTTATAAACAAAAACTTGAAAGGGAATTAATTCACACTTAATGTCCCAACAAGAATACAATTTGCTTGCTAATATATTCATGAAAGAGCTTAATTTAATAATATTGTAAGCACATTTGAAATGGTAAATCTCCACCATCCAATTTAAGGGAACCTTTTGAATGAAAACAGGATTAAAAACAGGATTAAGAAGTGTCGGGAGTAGTACTAGATGAGAAAAATTAGGGGCTATGAATTCATTCCTTACAAAGAAATATTTCTCTCATGGATTCATATACAAAAAAGTAAAGAAAAGAGCCCACAGATTACTACTTTGTCATCAATTAGCAATTACTAAATGGATAAAATGATAAGATAGATAGGGATGATTTTTTTGTGTTTGCTATTGTATTTTTTTCATTTATTTTTTTTTTATACAATGTTTATGTATAAATACTCATTGAAAGAATCCAAAACTTATAAAAACAACCTCTTTAACTACTGAAACCTTATTCAAACAATGACTAAAGTTCTCAATTTTATCAATTCAAAGTGCAAATTTTTATACTTTTTGTTATGACGAAGTTCTTATCCCGATATTTCCCCAATAGATTTAATAATTGGCGAGAAAGTTTGAGGCAGAGATGGAATTTCTATTAATTCTATTAAAGGCATTTGCTCTTCTTGTGTGGATACATCTTACTTCTGGAAGTTCTTTTTTTTTTAAATAAATCTTCCTATATCCACCTTCGAAATCTTTTCTATGCAATTTAGAAAAACTTGTGATTTGGTCATTTATTTCATTTAGAACAACTGCAATGGCTTGCATCATTACCTTTTTTTTTAACATCAATGCCAAATTTTAATTTGCATGTCTCACCTTATTCCCACATTGCAGTTTCTTACTTCAGACAAAAAAGTTCAGAATGAACAATCTGCTGCGCGAAAATCTGAATGCAATTCTATTCCTCGAAACTCATCGGAATCCTCCACCTCTCACAGCGGAACACTCAACAGAGAAATCAAATTCTCTCCGGCATTATCCAAATGCACCCAAACTCGCAGCTCCAATCTAAACAATGTTGCTAAAAAACTAACCGAGGAATCCGCTACTTCGCCCAACGGCAAAACTGCACAATCAAATGGTGCTGTTGAGGATATGCTTCAACTCTTCCTTGGTCCTCTTTTAAAGAAAGCTCCTCTGAATGAGCCTGATCCTGAGATAACAAAAGAACTAACAGTTGTTGCTTATAAATCTGATTGCTTAATCAGAAGCTCTGTGGATGCTGAAAAACTGGCTGTGGATGCTGAAAAACTGGCACCTTTGACAAAAAAGAAGAATAGCCTTAAGGATAAAGTAACCATTTTTTTGGGTTAAAATTGTTCTTGTGGATAACAGAAGTTTATTATTATTATTATTATTATTTAAATAGAATGTCATATTTCAGCTATTCTTCTGTTGTGATGTGATATTTATTTCATGTAATTTGCTTGCCAAGGTGATGCCAATGACTCATGTAAAGTTTAATTTGTAAATATTATAAATATTTTGGCAAACTTTTGTCTCATGCTGTGTAATTTGATGGTAACAAATTGTGAGGTGTAGTTTTAATCATTTGCTTAGTGCTTTTTATAAGTTCATTATGTCATGACAATCAATTGTTAAGATTATCATTATGAATACATAAAGTATTTCTTACAAAGCTATATATAAAGGTGAAATGCTATGAAGATTCAAGTGGATATATCATTAAGATGAACACTGGTATTATTATATCTCTTAATATTCTTAAAGTGTTTTTAAATTTAATGTACTGATTAAGTATGAGCATCATTAGAATCTCAAAATAATGCAAACAATCTTTAACATGATGAGTTAACTCACAAACATCATGTAAAATGATTGAGAAATTGATTATGCAAATTGATTGCTTGCTTTATTTGGACTTAAAAGAATCAAACATGTTAAATCTCAATTTAAGCAACTAAAATTCATTAAATATTATATTATTCATCAAATGCCATTTGAATATTGCATGATTGCATAGACCAAATCTCATTTGGATGTATTTCAATTTTCTACATTTGATTGAATTTGTATTTTATTTTTAATCACAAGTTGCTATACACTCTATTTTGAACTTGATTTAAATTTTGTTGGATCTTCAATATTATTTTGAGTTAAGATTATATAATATATCATATTTTTAATGGTAATTTTAAATTGACCAACTAATTATATATGTATGTATATATATGTATGTATATATGTATGTATCTGTATGTATCTGTATGATAAATATATATATGTATGTATCTGTATGTATATGTATGTATATATGTGTATGTATATGTATGTATATGTATGTATATATATGTATGTATATGTATGTATGTATGTATATGTATGTATATGTATGTATGTATATGTATGTATATGTATGTATGTATATGTATGTATATGTATGTATGTATATGTATGTATGTATATGTATGTATGTATATGTATGTATGTATATGTATGTATGTATATGTATGTATGTATATGTATGTATGTATATGTATGTATGTATATGTATGTATGTATATGTATGTATGTATATGTATGTATATATATATATATATATGTATGTATATCTATGTATATGTATGTATGTATGTATGTATATATCTATATGTATGGTCAATTTTTTACTCAATATTGATTTCACTGCATGTGCTTGATCAATTTTTCAGTTCTAAAGTAACCATTAGAACATTAAAAAAAAAAACTTCAACAAAACTAGCAAGCAATTTTGGAGCGTGACAAGTAGTCGTCTATGTTGGTTGTTGGTGTTGAACAATATACTTGATAATTCTAATTTGTCAACTCATACTTGGCAACTCTAGCTCGATAGCTGATACTTTGTAACTTGTCAATTTATATTAGTCAAATCATCAACTCGTACTCGGAAGCTAGTGCTTGGTTGCTTGTACTCCTCAACTCGTTAGCTCGACATAGTGGCTTGGCTTATGAATTTGACAAGGTAACATGACAGTCTGCTTTAAGGGTATACAATTAGTTTCTAGATTCTCCCGTACTTTTAGAAGACAATCGTGAAAGGAATAAGATAATAAAAAATTGATTTATTGTTTTGTAATGAATTTTATACCTTACTCATCTCGGTGGGATAAGTGATGGTTTTGTGTTGTATGCACCTCTTAAAATTGTCGATATTTCATGAGCATGTGAATTTTTTGATAGATGACATTCTATCATTTTTTATTTTGTTAAGCTAGTGATATTAGTACATATTATTTTTTGATATTTTATTTTGTTAAGTAGTTAGGGTGAAAATATGTAAATACATATAATTGAGGGGCATGTAGGTAATTCTTGCTATTTTAAACTTAATTGAAAAATTAAGAGCATTTATATTTTTAAATTTTGGCTCAATTATTTGGAAAATTTGTTGTTTTATTTAAAAAAAAATATTATAAATGTACAACTATTTTTAAATTTTATAAAAATAATCACAAATAATATAGACAAGTGAAGATGAATAATCATCTTAAACAACTTTTTTTTTTAATTAGCCGATCTTTTAATTAAATCTTTACCTATTTTAATTATTTAGGCGTTATTTGACAACATATTATTAATAGGATTTTGTTATGAATTTAACTTAAATTTAGCTGAATTTCTAAATCGGCACGTGTTCGAAATTGGCTCGTGAACAGTGTGTTGGTGTTTGGCTTGATTTAAATATTCTTGTTCGTGTTCGACTTTAAACTGAATCCTTAAAATTAATTGGGAAAAATAAGTATAGAGTGTTGGATTCTAATCTAGACCAAATATATCCAAAAGAAGACTCACAACTACATTACAACACAAACAATTATTATTTAAACTTACATATAAATATACATAATATATTATTATATAAATAATATATTTAATATATTATTATATAAATAATTATATGATTTTATTTTTTTATTTCGACCTAAAACGCGGCTCGTTTATAATTCTTGCTTAAAAAAATTATTCGTGTTCAGTTTATTTCCTCAACGAACGAGACGAAAAAGATTCACAAACAAAGCTTTTTTTTCGACAGATAAATACAATCAAAATTTTAATTGATTTTAAATATATTATATTAATTTTTAAATAAATTGTTGGTAAAATTTTTCTCTTAAGCAATGACGCGCTCGTCTTGAGCCACAAGAAACACGGATGTTTAATTATCACCGTCCATTCACGATCGGACGGCCAGCATAGTTTCCCTTCGGTGTAGATTATTCTGGAAGCCATAAAGCTCTTCAACGTTTAGGAGTCAGCCCCATCACCCTATAAATACCACGCCTCCCATGGGACAAAGGTAGCCGTTCATTTGAAATTTTTACACATAGCACCCTATAATAATTTGGAAAAAAAACAGTTGCATTGTATTTTTGGAAAAAATATTACATCAGTACTACGCACGTAGAGTAACGTGCGTACCCAATGAAATCACGTCACGATACCCCGCGCGACGCAGAAAAAAAATTGCGCAGTAACACGGGGAATATTCTCCCCCGTGTTATTCAGCTGTTATTGTGTGTTATTCATGTGTTATTCATGTATTATTGTGTTATTATAATACCAGGAATATTCCCAGGATACAATAACACATGAATAACACACAATAACAGCTGAATAACACGGGGGAGAATATTCCCCGTGTTACTGCGCAATTTTTTTTCTGCGTCGCGCGGGGTATCGTGACGTGATTTCATTGGGTACGCACGTTACTCTACGTGCGTAGTACTGATGTAATATTTTTTCCAAAAATAATTTCCCGTGTTATTCAAGTGTTATTGTGTGTTATTCATGTGTTATTGTATCCTGAGAATATTCTTGGTGTTATAATAACACAATAACACATCAATAACACATGAATAACATGCAATAACACATGAATAACGCGCAATAACACATGAATAACACGGAAGGGAATATTCTCCGTGTTACTGCGCCGTTTTTCTTACTCCGCCGCGCGAGATGTCGTGGCGTGTTTTGATTGGCTAAGCCATTAAAAATAACGTGCGTAATACTGATGTAATATTTCTTCGTATTTTTGTAATTTGTTTGTAACATCACCTAGAATTTGGTATTTATGGTGCTCGTCCATCTCCAGTGAGGAATCCTCCACAATCAGGTGAGTAATACTAAATTTCTCTCATTTTCTTGTTCTGCTATCTAATCGTCTTGAAAAATATCTATTATAACATAAGATGTATATACACTGCGTCGAATGCACTAAATATCATGTTATTGGGCTTTCATTAATGACTCGAATGCTTAATAGGTTAGAATTGTTCCAGCACAAAATTCTCATTTGGCCTAAATGCTGTCGCGTTTCAAACTGTTTTATCCTTCATGAATTTAGTCCCACATCGACAATAGTAATAACAAACCAGTTTGAATGTTTTTGCTCTGGAAGGGTTTAAAATAAATAAAAAAAAAAAAAACTAATTTTTAAAGCTTAGTTATGTTATTTTGATTTATTAATTATTTATAAGTTATTATTTATCTACAATTTTATAAATATGCTGCGCTTTATTTATTTATTTATTAATTTTTGACGGCCAGGATGAATGCATTATATATATATATATATAT